AGCGCAACACAGCGTTGCAACGTTGTTGCGAAGTTTCAAATGGAAACAAATTGCAACGCTGTGTTGCGCTAAAAATCGTCATTGCGAATCGTCCCGTGTAACTTAGATTGCGGGGACGATGCAAAGAGACGTGAGCCGGGAAAACATCGGGGATGGGGTAGGGAGTGAGATCTAAGGACCCTAGCTTCCTCTTCCTCTTTTCATCATGATTCAGTTTTTCCCAATCAAGGACTTCGCTCCACACTTCACTATCTGAACGCTTGGAAAAGGCAAAAAAAGACGCGCCAACTTTCAAAATGATAAACTGAAGCAAGGGATGGCGCTCGCATCCCACCAAAGTGGCCTGGCGTGGACGCCATATGTTGGTTGATTTTGTTGTTGGTTCTCTCCTTTGCTCTGAAAGGTTTTCTCCGGATACTCCGGTTTTCCCCTCTCCTCAAAAACCAACATTTTCATGTTCCGATTCGACCGGGAATCAGGAAGAAGAAGAATCACTTCAGGGGCACCCAACGACAATTTTCGGAAAAATATCTGTTCGGAAGACGACTTGAGATCTAGAATTTTCGGAACATTTGTTGTAAAATTTCTTGCTTGCCTGCTTCTCCTAGGATTTTCGAACATCTAAAATATGTTATAATTGCCTATTTTTAACGTATTTTTACGTAAAAAGGTCACCTAGAATTTTCGGGAGCCTTTTTTCTGGCTGAAATTTTTGAAAAGGTAAGTTTTGATCCCTATAATTTTCGGATCACTAGACTTTCAGCTAGGAAATCCGAACAGATGAAAAATTTTTAGAGGATAAAAATATGCCTATATCTACCGTTTAAATACCAAAATACGTTTAACAATGCTATGTTTTGGCAGTTTTGAACTAAATTCTCGTTGGGTGCCCCTGTCACTTTATGGATGAGCTACATCCAAATCATTGATTATTATTTATTTACTTAACGGAAGAGAAACCAGAGTATAAACCGGGGTTGTGGCGGACGAAAGTTATTGTTATTACTTTCTTGGTATTTTATTTACGGATACATACGTAGTTTATATGGGCGTATCTTTATTGGTTGAAATTTGACATCGCAGAGCCTTCTCAGGGTACTACAGTGACATGGGAAGTCTTTCACTTCATTACAGTCACACTCAGTTTTCGTGTCTGGCTCATATTTTTTGCGATCCAGCGCTCAGCTTCCGTGGCTCTCAGACTTGAGAGCACTATACATTTCATCTTAATGTAGGATAACAGTACGTGTTTGAATTAATCTCTCAGGAGAAACATCGGCTACCAAAAACCCACTCATTCACACTACTGCAAACAACAGAACGAATGGCTCTATACAGAGTACAACACTGACGGAGAAACCTACAGACACAGAAGTGACATTGTTTACAACGTCTGCCTCTGTGTCAGCGCTTCAAATGGCTACTAAAGTGGAGACGTCTTCGAATCAAAGTAACGTGGACAAACCAGGATCTCAAGAAGGCAAGTCAAATACAGAAGTGCTAAGTGTGTCACTTTCGTTGGTCCTTGGTGTCTTAGCAGCAGTCGGCGTTGTGATTGCTGTGTTGTTTGTTCGCTGGAAAAGGTGAGTTAAGGTTGAAGTTGGTAAAATCGAACATCATAGCACTCGACCGCAAAAGTCGTCATCATTATTTTTAGATTAAAACAAATTAAAATTTTAGATTAAACTCCAATTAGCGCTTATGTTGAGAGTAACTTGGTGACTTGCTAACGCCTATATGGGAGTACTCGGTTTTTTGCCCATGTATTTGGCAGCTTAAAAGTTAACCACCACATCTCTTTCATTGCGCGAGACTTTTATATACCTCGGATCGGTTGAAAGTCCATGCAGGGGTCCCACAGGCTAGTAAGAAGTCATTGGCAATTGAGCCCTAAGAGTGATCAGCATGAAATTTCTCCTTATAATATCAATGCTTTAGAAAACAGATTGGTCATGAGAATTGAGTACATGATCTATTGAAAAAGTATAGGGACAGTAAATGAGAATCTCAATTTCAATATTAGGCTTTAAAGGGTTGAAACTGTTAATCAAATTCGGAGTCACCTTCGGTTGAAACGTCCACACAAACTACCTCAGTCAACGGTTCAGTATGTGAAGGGGTCATCTCTCGCATATGCCGAGATTTTCAGACTTCAATTGGTCTCACCTTTGACGCCAAAGATCCTCTTAGCAGCTAATCAGAACAGAATAGGATTTCCAGTAATGCCTATTGAGCTAAACGAGTTCATAGAGAGGACCAAGGTGCTTCTGGCTCGCTAAAAATTCAACGACTGTGAAGGACTATGGGGAAATTTGGAACATGGCGCGCGAATTTCACGGGAAAAGTGATTTGAAAGTTATGTCATCTGACAGTAACCGAAGAAGGCTCTCACATGATTTGATAGGCTCCAGCGCTTACATGTAATGTAAATACGCAAAACAGAAGCACTTTTCACGGAGCTACATTTACGACAAAACAGCCATCTTTCACGCCATGTCTTCTCCTAGGTTCGCTTTTGAGAAGACAGACCTAAATTTGAGGTTTATATATGATTACCGCATTTTGTAAACGTGTTTTGTTAACTTTTTTTTCTCACGGTTGTAGAATACGAAAAATGAAGAAAGGATTCCAAGACGAACTGGCTACTATATGTTTACAGTAAGTAAGATCTTAAATTAAAGTTTCACCGGTGGACGAGAGTAACTGAGCTGATAACTGTTTCTCATATTACCATTTCATCGAGATTCTTTATATGGCAATCTTCAAAACTTTTGTAATTTGTACAGTTTGTAGTCTCGTTTACATGGCCACGCGCTAGGATTACGTCCACATACACTCCAGTGAAAGTTGGAACCACCTCGTAGAGCATAAATCAACAACTGAAGAGATACGTGCCTTGTAAAACGTCTAAAACCCATCCTCGGAGACCTGGGGGCAAGAGAAAGTCTAAACGGCAATTTTTTTTTCCGCCCGTTTAAACTTTCCCTTGACCCCATTATCTGCCCCTGGGTCTCCGAGGGTGTGTAAAACCTCGCGACTCTCCGGGGATAGGAATTGAACTCTTGATTATATGACTGCTAAACAAAGTAATGCAAATATATTTGAGGATCTGGAAAGGTATTTTAGGGATCCGGGATTTGACCGAAATACGGTGTTGGATTTAGGAAAACGGAAAATGTCTTGACGAGATACGGGATTTGACCGTTACTCGAGAAGCAGGATTCGCCAAAATCTTGAAGCGGGATGAAGTATTAAGAAAGAAACACTGTTCGGGACACAGACGACAGAAGTTCGGGATCACGCGGGATTGTCGTGTAAAAGAAGCGTGAATGCGGGATCAGGACCCCCTTCCAGACCCTGATCTTACTGCACGTATCGTCTAACGATAACATATTTTTATTGTTGTTGTTATACAGTGACGAGTTAGCATCAGAGGCATTATACGCTTCATGGAAGCCTTTCATGGACACAAATGACACGTCTAACATGAAGCTTGTTATTCAGCAATCCACTCCTGATGCGAAAAGTTCCACTGCCACACAGGCCTAGCAATCCTTTCTGGTCTAGCCTGCAACCGAGCAAGCTCTCCATTTGGGGGAGTAAGAGAGAAGTCACGCAAGAGCAGCACGCAAAAGAAGACCCGGCGCTGCTTGCGAACTGTCGCGCCTCGCTTCAATCGCTATAAACGAAGAGCTTGCTCGCAGGCTATTTCTGATCTTTCTGTAACTTTTATCAGAGACCAGAGTGCCTGCGCTCAGTTCAATACAAATCCCAACTAACAGTGTGTACAAGTTGTAAAATATTGCAAAACAAGTAGAAAGCAGCTATGGACAAAAGGTTTGTCCAGGTTTGATGACTAGAATTGTCAGTACGTACTCAAAGGTTTCAGTCACGTTGTAAAAAATAATAAATAGAAGCATAAATACGTACAAGACTTCAACGTTTATGAATCAAGTGAACCCATAGCAAAGCGCTGCTCTGTAGTTATATATTTCATTTGAATGGTCATAATGGTTTTTGTAATCTCAAAATCTAGAACCACCTTGTACAGCATAATAAACAGCACCACAGAAATCTGCTGCCTAATTGGTTTTGTTTGAATAGTCTCATCATTACATACCATTTACAGACTGACTCAGAACAACTACAAACAGGCTCTACTTTCGTTTCACTAAGTTGGTAACACTCCGGCAGGCATCGCGTGCAAAGAACTCGTCCTCCTCACGAGGAAACACTACGCGCGGTTGAAAAAGAAAACATCTTTGATTTCTAGTTGACTAAAATTAAAATGTCAATAAATTCTTAAATAGTAAGGTAATTTTACTTGTGTACCATTATAGACTTCACCTTTAGGCTCAGTAACAATATCACGAAAAGGGTCAAAATCTTGGAAGACAAAGCGCCTGATTGGCAATCCCAATTAGGTATAAAATCAAACAACCCCACTGGAATTCGTACTAGGCACGAATCTGCATAGTCCATGTAGTGTGCATTTTCTTTTATCCAAGAGATGGTTTTTGTTTTTTTCTTTCATTTTGTCGAGGGTTTCCTGGCCCCTAGTTAACTCACTGAAGGTTTTGTCCTGGATATTAACTTCTGATCCAAAATAGCCATTGAAATACCAGGCAAATTCGATTATACACAAGTTACATCTGAGCTACGGGGTTCTTCGTCTGGTCGAAGCTTCTCCAAAACTAAGCCTTCCAACTCTACTGGTTCAAACAAGGAAGACCGAGGCGGAAGAAGTAATGTGAAGCGTCCTACTGCTTCTTCAGGGACTGTACCACCTATAACCTTTAGGGGATATAGAGTTTGGTTGATGAATAGGCCATTTACAGTTATGGATAGAAGCGAGGCTGGAGTTGACTTTGTTTTGATGGAAACCTTAAAATTCTTGCTTTATTATGTAAGTCAAGTTATTCTTATGCTAACTAGTATTTTTCAGGGACAATTTCCATAACAAAGCAAAGGAGGTTTGTATCAAAACAAGGTCAACCTCAGCCTTACATTCACTCGAAGGGTAGGGTACTAAGTCCACAACTGCAAAACTGTCTATTGCAAACACTGTAGGAAACGATTCGTAAATGTAAGTCGCTTCTCGCTTTAATTTCACTGACTGGAGGGAAACAGAAGAAAACCTCTAGTTTTGTTGATTTATATATCGGTCAGTGTAAAACGCAGACTGCGGACTGCAGACTGCGGACCAGGGGTAAAATGCAGACTGAGTGTAAAATGCAGACTGCAGACTGAGAGTAAAACGCAGGCTGGGGTAAAATGCAGAATAAAGACCGTAGACGTTTTTAAACATTTGTGCTCCTTCTTCTCCAAATCAGTGAAATAGCTAGCCGGTATCAGTTACACACTTCGCTTCCTAGTTGAAGTGGATTGCACATTCGCCAGAAGTTTCAATGAACATCCGAATAGGTTAAGTCTGTGTACCTTGATCTGCAATACTTTCATAGAAGGTCGTCCAAATTTCCTGCAGAACATCTTTCTTTGTTGTTAGAATGATTTACTCCCTTGTTATCGCCATAATTCTTCCTGTACAGTATTTTGGGTCAGCAGCTTCCATTTAAGCGTAAACATTGTGGTGTTGTATTTGTAACAATTCACGGTCCCTGGTCACGTATATCGAAAACTTCGCGTCTAAACTTGAAGCGTGAGGTCTCTCGGACGGAAAAAGGTTCAAGATTGCGATTATATGTTTTTGGGTCGTCGACAACGTTCTAGAGAAGAAAATCCTGAGTGGATTTGTGAAAGCAGATGTCTTCAAGTAAGTGTTCGTTTACATGTATTTGCGGGATTTTTTGACCCTTAAACCTTTCCACAACTACAGTTTATGCTCGGTCTGCATTTTACCCCAGTCTGCATTTTACTCTCAGTCTGCAGTCTGCATTTTACATTTAGTCTGCATTTTACCCCTGGTCCGCAGTCTGCAGTCTGCAGTCTGCAGTCCGCTGTCTGCGTTTTACACTGACCGATTTATTTTTTATTTAGAAGACATTCCATTTATAGCAGTTAAAAGGGATGCAAAGTTTTCCACTAGCTATGTGAAAGGGGTACTATTTGTCCATAGAAGTATACGATAGGGGTGGGGGTCAAAAATGGTATACAAAAGGGTAAGGGGTTGAAACTCGGGACGGAGCCTCCCCTTACACAGGCACTGGGGACGCGTTGAAGAGAAGAATAGTTTCTTGTTGTTGTGGACCGGTGCAATCACCAAATGTGTGACTTAATACAAAAGATTGGAGAGTCACTGAACGATGCCACACCACAAAACAATAACTAACCAACAATGCTTAAAGCAACACCAAGAAGCACCCCAAAAAAGTAGGGATTTTTAGGGGGAAATGGTTGAAAATTAGGGCTTTTTAGGGCATTTTTCAGTAATGTATCTTACCTTTTCCGCGTCCAAACACAAACATACTTACTCAATTAAAATTGCATTATACAAAGTATTTAAACCTCACGTACTGAAACCAACTAGAATTGCAAGTCATTCTTTTACACTAATTGATAACATATTCTTTAATTCTATTGAATATCAAACAATCAGTGGGAATTTATTACGTGATCTCACAGACCATTTGCCTAATTTTCTCATCATTGAGAGGTTTGCTTTTTCAAGACATAAAGAGAAAAAATATAAACAAGATTATTCTTATTATAATGAAGAAGCTTTTATAGATGAATTCAGTTCCATTGACTCAGGTCTGATTTATTTCATGGACTCTCAGATACTACTGAAATGTTTGATAAGTTTTATACAAAAGTAAACAATGTTATTAATAGTCATTTACCTTTAAAGCCACTTACTCGAAAGGAATCAAAATTTCAAACAAAGCCCTGGATCACCCCAGGATTAAAAGCATCCATTACAAATAAAAATAGGTTGTATAGGCACTACCTGAAGACACATACATGTTACAGTCATACCAAATTCAAATGCTATCGAAACAAACTAAATCATCTACTTAAACTAAGTAAAACCAATTTAAATTATAAAGAATATTTTGTGATCAACAAGGCAAAAACAAAAGAAATTTGGAAAGGAATAAAGCAACTTATATGTCTCAAGTCCAAAGGTTCCACCTTGCCTAGCAAATTAATTATTAATGAACATGAGATTACAAATCATAAAGTCATTGCTGATCAATTTAATAAATTTTTCTCTAACATTGGAAAAACTTGGCCTCAGCTGTACCAAAACCAAATCTTGCATTTGATTATTATTTAGATAAACCCCAGGCCTCTAGTTTTTTCTTATCACCTACTAATTCAACTGAGATTGAGAATTTAATTATGTCCCTAAGTTCAACCAAGGCTTGTGGCCCATTTAGTATTTCAACCTCCCTTCTTAAGACTTTAAAAAGTGTTTTATCAGTCCCTCTTCAGCTGCTCTTTAATTGCTCATTCTCTACTGGTATGGTGCCAAAAAGTAGCCAGAGTAGTGCCAATTCACAAAAAAGGGTCCAGCTGTCTAGTCTCCAACTATAGACCTATTTCCCTGCTTTCTATATTCAATAAATTAATTGAAAAAATAATGTATAATAGAATTATTAGCTATCTTGAGAAAATTCTATTTTATACAAATAATCAGTTTGGTTTTAGATCAAAGCATTCAACCATCCATGCTCTTCTCCTCTTGACTGATAAGATATAGAGATCAATCGATAATGGCACCTATTCTTGTGGCATTTTTTTAGACTTACGTAAAGCATTTGATACTGTCGATCATAAAATTTTATTAACCAAGTTGGAGTATTATGATATACGAGGTGTTGTAAATGATTGGTTTGCATCATATCTAAGTAACAGAAGACAGTTTGTCTCTTTTTTTGGTACAGATTCTGATTACCAAACGGTTTCATGTGGAGTACCACAGGGGTCAGTGCTTGGCCCACTTCTTTTTCTTTTATATATAAATGATCTGCCTAAATGCTCCAACGTTTTGGATTTTCACCTTTTTGCAGATGATACAAACCTGTTTCTTGACAATACTAACATTCTAAATTTAGAAGCCAACCTAAATGTAGAACTAGATAAGGTGAGCCAGTGGTTATTTGCTAACAAATTATCTCTGAACATTGAAAAAACTAGCTTTGTGGTATTCCATTCTCCGCAAAGACGAATAGCTCATAAGTTGAATCTTAATATCTCCAATATGTCTGTTAAATCTGATAACCAAGTTAAATACCTTGGAATCATTTTTTATTCTAATGTGTTGAACTGGAAACCGTACTTGCACGAATTGAGCAAGAAGATTTCAAGAGGTATTGGGGTACTATCTAAAATTAGACATTATGTAAACGGAAACATATTACTTCAATTATATTATTCACTTATTTACCCCTTCCTCACCTACGGTTTATCAATTTGGGGCAATACTTATAGTTCTACTCTCAGACCTTTGAAAATTCTTCAAAAGAAAGCAACGCGTATTATAACTTTTTCGGAACCAGGTGATCACTCTGAGCCTCTTTTTAAGAAATTAAACATTCTTAAATTAACTGATCTTGTTACCCTTCATAATGCACTCCTCATGTATAACTATCACCATAATCTTCTTCCATCTTCCTTTGAAAATTTCTTTAAAACGGTAGCATCCATACACTCATACAATACTAGGCTTGCTTCTAAATCAACCTATTACCTCAATACTATCAAAACAAACTATGGTAAATTCAACTTTCGCTTTGCGGCTGTAAAAGTTTGGAATAACCTTGATGAAAGCATTAAACACCTCCCCCTTAAATCCTTTAAAAACAAAGTCATGTCAAACATCTTACAGTCTTACTGTTCGTGAGTCTTTTTTCTTCTTTTTTTTCTCTTTTTTTTTTCCTTTTTCATTTTTTCCTTTTATCTATTTACTAATTCCTTGTTTGTTCTAGCTTTAGTGCCAACCTACCTCCTATGCCTGAACATTATTTAGCTTTACTCAGCTCGATTAGCTTTTTAGTTATTCTGAGTAAATGTTACCTTTTTTTGTATTAATATATTATATTGTAAATTAAGTTAACTTTTATTTGGTAATAAAGCTTATGTTTCTGTTTCTGTTAATGAGATGATGGCCATAGTTAGAATGTTGTGTTGAAAATGCTTTACAACATCAATAACATTTGAAGAAGTGGTACCATAAACTTAAACCAAACACATTTATTCAATAGTACCGGTTCTACAGCAGTAGGCTGATCAGTCAATGTATTTATACAATGGACTGATTCTCAGGACATCTTCCCTAGTCAGTGATGTAGGGTGTCCTTATCCCATAGAAGTCATAAACTAAGGATCAAGCCTTCATATAAAATTAGTGTGAGTGTGCAACAACAAGAACAATATGAATTATGACCTTGTAAACAAGTGCATGTAAAGATTCTAACCATCCAGAAATACTATGATTAAGTCAGAGAAAACTAATAAAATCATTTACGCATCACATTCTAACTGCTAAATTATAGCAATCTAGTGCTTAGCATTTTCAATCACATTCAAGCATTTGCTGTCTAGAGATGCTCTCCTTTTCTGCCAATCTTCCATTTCACTCTGTGCAGTTTTCATGTCTTTGTGGGCACCTTCCAGTAGGCCTTGAGCTACAACCACTTTGTTCTTAAAATCTTTAGACTTAACTGCATCGCAACTAATCTCTGAAGAAGTTTTGTTTTAGAACAGCAGTTAATGAAAAACCTTTTTGCCACAGGCTCTGTAAGAGTTTCTACGAAGAGGTGTCACTACTTTCAAACTCTTACAAAGAATGTGATAGTATAAAGTGCTACAAATCTAGTACTTGAGCATATGGATATGCTTAAGCAAAATGAGAACAACAAGCCCCCTCAAACTCTATCTAGAAGTTGTCGAGCGCTTTCAACGACATTGGTCATCAGTAATTTCCGGAAAGAAAGAAAAAAAAAAAGCTTTTAGGGAAAATTGTGAAAAAATAGGGATTTTTAGGGATAGGGGAAATAATTAGGGATTTTTAGGGCCTCCAACATGCCTGTAGTATTTAAATAATAATAGTTAACTAAGATAATTCCCTGTCACATGATAGCTGTATTGAGTCTTCCAGCTGTAAATGACCTGTAAGAAGTTGTTAGCGACCCGTGTTGCAGTCAAACTCGTAAGGTTATGTTATTCCCATCGCATAGTTAATTCATAAGTAAGTTAGGTTAGCCAATCACATTCGCAATCTTGCAATCTTGGACAGAATAAAATGCATCCCCATCCCCCCTAAATCAAGGATGAAGCCGTGCGAAAGGCAAAACGCGCCTTTTTCCCATCCTTGATTTGATTTGGGGGAGAGAGGTATAACATTTTTCTATAGGCTCCATTTCCGTCGCTCTCTCGGGAAGTAGCGCGGGCTCATTTCCGGAAAGCCCCTGATAATCGAGCCTAGTTTCCCGAAAGACCTGCCACTTTAACGGTGATTGACAGCAGGGCGAGTAAATATTGTTGGTGGATTCGATTCATTATTGTTTATTTTCGATTGCTTTACTCGATATTATTCGTGAGAACTGTGGTTAAAGGAAGTTGCCTGAGACTTGATGCAACTGATTCTCCTACGAAGAAGATAAGAACTCTGCTCAGGTAATGTGGCTTTTTATCACTGTACGTCGATTTATGATGGTAGTATGTGCTAAGACAAAGTGCATTACGAAAACCGTTTTTGAACCACTAAATCTGTTCATAAATGGCTTATTTTGAGCTGAAGGCTTTCACCACGACAACCGAGGCTTAGCTCAGTAGATAGAAAGATCAGTCAGCCGGACGACATCTTGATTCTCTGAGCCACACCAATAATCAGGATCTTAAAATAAGCAAGATACTGCGCTTGCTTCGCATGACTCGGTGACCGCGTAGAAATGCCAGCCCTGTCTTCCCTACGAGACTTAAAAATCCTGTGTAGTGTCGTCAGTGATAATAGTTGGGTGGTAAATACATCGCTAAGCTCTGCTTTAATTACCGGCCAAAATATGTCTTTGCCAGATGTCGCGATCGGCTTCAGTTAGTCCATCGGTGACTCTGTTAAAAGGTTTTCAATCCTTTTTTTTTTTCTTTTGAAATTTATTTAAATCAAAAACTAAATTAAACTCTGTTCCTGACATTTTACGACATATCTTTTCCCGCAAATTGGGAAGTGCTGAACCTCGTAAGTTTACAAGACAAACACACCACGTAGGAATTTGAGAAAAGAGTGTCTAAAAGTTCAAACTATGGTTACTAATCGTCATTAAGCTCTAGTCTCCATCCTTCTGTGAGTCGCTCGGCACCGATAGTAAAAACAGGTCATTATCATTTTGCCTCTCTCTTTCAAAAACAAATCTAAGGGTTACCAACAGCCACCTTGAAATCATCGAAGGGATCGTGAATGTAAATGTTTGTGTTCCGTTTTGAAATGAATTCAGTGATATTAGTGGTTTCCGCTTCGCTGAGACAGTAAAACTTCCCTAGCAACTCCACAGGCAAAGTTTATACACAAACTTGAAACCGGTGAGGGTACTCAGAGTTATTTTTTCGAACTATTTAAATCAGAAATGGAACTGAATTTATCGCTTGTAGTCTACAACATTTCTTCTCCCGAAAAAAGTGAAAATGCTGTAATTGCCGAGTTTTACTACGATAGAAACACACCACTTATAAATACTTACGAAAAGAATGTCTAAAAAATTCAGACTATGGTTAATCATGATGAAGCTCAGCTCTACTTCTTCCTCGAGCACTGAGCTCAGCAGCGATAGCTAAAACATACTTTTTTGTCTCTCTCTTTCAAAAGAGAATCAACAGGGCACAATATTAGATTCAAGACATTCCTGAAATCATCAAGGGTCTCAAACGGATCGCGTGTTCTTTTTTGGAATGAATTGATATTGATGGAGTTTCTGCTTCGCTGATCAGACAGTAAAACCGAATCGAAGAAACTCCACAGGAAAACTTTACAACCCAACAGCTGAAATCGGAGGTTACTAAGAGTTATCTTTTCAATTTTTTTTGCACGTCCAGAAAATGATTGAATATAATATTGGGTTAAATAAATGAAGTACAGCCACTGTAAGACTGACTTAACTCTCTGGGGTTGGGGGAGGGAATCCCATCTAAATGCTACGGGAACCGGGGGAATGCTCGTTGGAAAATATAATTAGAATTAATTGAACCCCTCTAGCTAAAAGAGACCAATCTGGTCGTTTCTCAGGCTTTATATGAACCCTTAAGGAGACCAGTGTACTAAAACAGACAACATAACTA